AAACCATCAATGACCACTACTAATAAAAGTATTAACATTCAAAGTGAATGTAAAATAAGCAATTTACAGTCTGAATGAGTCTGAGATATCCTCTGATCAAGAAAACAAAAACTCTGTCCAACCTCGCTTCATACTTTATTTCAGTATTCAATATTCCTATTAAAGAAATTGAAAGAGAAATATATCGGAAATATTTCTTTGGGACGGTTCAGATGGAGGGGATTTCACCTTGTCCAATGAATTATATTCTGTGGCTTGTGCTGTGGTCTTTCTCCCTCTTGAAAATGGAGGTATAAACATATGGACAACCATCATACAAATTTTGTTCTTTACAACTGGCTTAGGAACTTAGTTCTCCTTGGCATGTAGGGATTGCTAACGAACATGGAAAGAACTTCACCAGGTGATTCACAAGGGAAAATTCCTAGAAACATACCTCTCTTCAGGCTAAAATGATTACTAATAAATATGGTAACAACTTCACTGGGAAATTCATAAAAGGAAACTCCTAATCTCTCGGTGAGAAGTTTAGATGCTGTATGAAGTTGTTGCTGACCAGACAGGAGAACTGGCAAGATGATGAGATAAGGGTGACCATTGCATGAAGTTGCTTTAAAATTAACAATGACAGATAAGTAATTGAATAGAAGGCTATCTATGGTAGCAGTTAGATTCAAATCATGCCTCCTTAACCAGACTTCAAGAGTTTGAAATCTCATTTATGCCGATACGTTTTCAGTTAGCTTCCTAGATCATGTTTTGGTTTTCTAAGAACCTGCATTCTCCTGGATTTATATAAAGTGTTTAGTGAAGAAAGCTATCTAAAAAGTGCAAGGTGTTCCCGTGGTCAATTTTCCCGGAAAGGATAAACACAAATTCTGTTACTCAAAAAACTTTCCTCTATATTTCGCCCAGAACACTTATTTATACATAAAGAATGCAGAATGTAGAAGGGGCTGAACAAGTCTCTTCCTGAACTGCCATTTGTCTAAGTGGCTCTGGGTAAGTTCTTCAAACTCTTCAACTTTAGTAGGTCAAAGAACAAGGATAGTTGTTCTTCAAATGTTAGTAGATCAAAGATCAAGGATAAGGAAAGAAATCTATCGACCAACTTTATTTTTTACATTCTTGGAAGGTGTAGATGAAGAAAAGCAGCAAAGTTTCTAAAGTCGGAGTCTTGTAGAAAAAGATATACGGACCTTGTATAATTGTGGCTTCTTCTAGAGCTTCTCATTTTTCTTTGTGATAAACATGGCTTCTTCTTGAGCTTCTAATTTTTGTTTGTAACTACCCACCCCTTATCTTTATGCACAACAAAATCTAGAGCCTTATGAAAATTTCTGTATATTTATTTAATCGATGAAATTGCTTTTTGAAAGGCCCCCAATTTCCATTTGTTAAAAGAGAAGGGGTAAGAAAAGGATTACACCATTGACAAGTTAGTTGGAGGTCAGAAACGCGGGAATGGGAGACCATCTGATAGATGTTGAGAATGTTGGGAGAGAACATGCGAGGGGGAGAGAGTATTTTAGGCTTAACGCCAACTTTATTTTCTTTTATGCTTCTGTCTTTTTGCCTCTTGTGAGGGAGAGGAGAGATAACCACTCATATCTGATCAGTTGAGAGAACTTGTATTGCATTGGGGCAAAGTTTTTCCTTTGTCCATCAATATATCATAAGGAGAACCTTACATATTGGTTTCGGAGCATCTCATTCTAAGGAGATTGGGAAAAATGGCCCAAAAAAGAATCAAAGAAAGATAAGATGTGACGAATCAAGAGATTAGAAGTATTAAAGAGAACATAATAACTTACCGGCAATTGAAGGAAGGCTATCAAAGGTGGTTGAAGGATCAAGTTAGAAATAGGAGTGATAGTAGTTTGACATAATGTCCAACCCAAGTGAGGTGGAAGGGCGCAAACGGATTCAGGAGAAATAAGAGAGGTAAATGGTGACTTGAGAAAATTCAAAAACGTCAAGATGCCTGCGTTTGGGGTCAAGGATCTGAATTTGTGGCTTTTTGAAGTTGACAAGTATTTCTAAATTCATAAACTCATTGATCCTAAGAAATTGATCATAATTGTGGAGAGTTTTGAAGGGATGGCCTTAAACCAATACTATGGGAAGGAAGAGAGAAAAGCGTTCAAGAACTAGAAAGATTTGAAGATTCATTTGCTGTAAGAGATTTTGAAGGTCGATAGACCATCTATAGTACAAAGGGCTAAACATAGTACTAGATCACCTCAACCAAGAATGCCGCATATCAGTATACTCTTAAACAAAGATAGATGAAATAAGACTATTACCCAAAAAAAAAACTCAAACCTACAGATTTGTCTTAGAAAGTGTCGTTATTTCTTTTCAATATGATTTCCCAATGAAGGGTAGGAACTACATACATCCACAAGTTGTTCAGTTCTTTATTACTTATCTCCTTTTAGGTACATCCATACTAAAGAGAGCATGCATAACCTTTTTTATTAACCCAAAAGCCCTCAAACTTCAATAGTGATTTGGCACATAAATTATGGGAAAACACAGAAACAAACACTTACACGGTAGAAGTGTATAATTCACCATACAATGTTGATTTATGTACAACAAATAAAACATCAATATGGAGAATCAAGAAAAGAAGCGAAAGGGCCTCCTCCAACCCAACCCAAAGTGTGGGAGAATAAAATTAACTGCAAATTGTACCAACCTTAGTGCCGAAAGGGCCAACAGGGTTGTCTATATCAAGGATATCTCGTCCCTGAAACATAAAACTAAATGAAATGAGACTCGCCTTCAAAACGAGAAAAACATTAGATGCCAAACAACTAAAATATTCACATAAACCAGACTCGTCCAATATGAGAAATGTGTCAGTAAGTTTAAGATGCCACTAAATACAACATTTTGATCGGAAGATGTTTTGTCCTTTGGTGCCTTATCATTCCAGAACTTTCAGCCCAACAAACCCGGCAGGTTGTTTGCTCAGCTTGGACATTGGCCGCAGGTAGCTTATTTTATTCGTTGATTATCACACCTATACCTCTGTAAAATCTTCTACATATTTATAATAGAAATGAGTTCACGTCATCCTCATACAGAAATTTTTGTGGTAAAAAAGTACCCTAGTTCTTTTCTTCAACCAATTCAAGGAACAGCAGGAATCATTTGTTCGATAAATTGACCATCCACTAATATAAATAACATGATATATATAGAAGTTCGACATTGGCCTTCTCATGAAAATTGTATCAATCAATTAACGTATAGCTATAAATATTCACCTGCATTTAATTTTTGAAAGTGATGGAAACCATCTTACCTATTTTCAATTTATATTCCGCTGTTTCTTTCAACATCAAATCCTAAAAAAAAAAAATGAAAGCACGCAACGAAACATGAAAAATATCACCTCAAGCGCAGCTTCGAGCTCTTCGCGCTCGTGTCCGGTTGCAATCGGCATTACATCCTCAACCTTCTTCTTCAAACCAGCATCAACTAATTTTCAATACAAACAAATCAATAATCACACGAGACCGAATCCACGTCACTCATACTATTAATTCATTTTCATACGCACAGCAACAGACAGTACAAAAAGTAATAATCCACAAGTTAAGAGTACGAAAATCCAAAACAAAAAGTAAGATCTACCAGCCTCGGCACCGTAATGACGAGCGTAGAACGAAACGTGTGGCGACGGAAAAACATGAGATGAAGCAGCTACAGTAAGTCGTGAGGCTCTGGAAATGAATCCCAATGGAGCAGATGCTGCCGCCGATGTTGAAGGAAAGGATTTCAAGGCTCTGAGCTGCGAAAAGAGAAATTTCCTCCACATGGTTGGTGATTCTCCGGTAATGATCTCAGGTCACTCCCCTTCGACGGCGAACTGATTACCCTCTCTGTCTCTGTCTCTCTCTCTCTCTCCTTCTTCTTCTTCTTCCTCAGCGTTTTGGTTTTGTAAGTGGAGAAATGTAGAATAAGTCAAGTGGAGATCCGGCTGAGGCCGAGGGTGGTACAGTACCCGATGGTTTGGCACGAGGCTATTACATGACACGTGCCGTGCGAAAATTTTCCCACTTAAATTACCCACTTGTATTTTACTATGTTTATAAAATTCCAATTTTAAATTTAATAATCCCTAAACTAATTAAATTTTAATCAGTGTCTGACGTACTAAAATTAATTTTTTTTTAATAGGATTCTGAATTTTTAATATCGTATTTAATTTGTAAATTTTAAACTAATTTTAAATAAATAACCTATTAAACTTAAAATTAGAAATTCAAATACATAATGATTTTTAATATCGATAAATCAATTTCATTTTTTGAAACTACTAGTATTATATTTTAGGGGAACTACACCAACACACATGTATTATTTATTTTTATTTTTATTTTTTTGGTTGAATGAAGATATATTTAAATGGCTTGTCAACTCAATTTTTTTTTAAAGCATATGGTAGAGTCCACTAGTATTTTTAAAATATATTTATAAAGAAAAAACTATAACGTGACCAAAGGGAACATAATATTTTTGTAGCACTTAATTTTTTTTAAAACAATTGATTGACAAAAAAATTGACGTCTTTGGCAAGGCTTGGGACGAAATTTCAAACTAACTTATTTCTTTCTATATTATTAAATAAAATGTTGTGATTATCAATTATCGAGATAACTTGAGAGATAATAACAAATTTCAATAATTACGTTATGTCCTAAAATGCTGGGATATCAATACCTTAATTATATTTTCTGAAAACGAAATCACCTAAATAATATGATTTTCCTTCCAAAATTTTTAGTTAGGAAAAAAAAGTGGAAGAGAAAATATGGAAAACCACTCGTAAATAAAAAAATCCGTCTCCTTTCCACATATATTAACTTTCAGAGCAGAATCACAAGTTTTCTACAATAATGGTGAGAAGAGACTTACGACACCACAATACCATCAAGATGAGAGGTTTGAAGGCCAAAGTGGATTATAAAAAAAAAAAAATTACAAAAATGCAAATGGCAAGTATGCAAAATTTTAGATTTGCAAAAGAAGTGACAAAGGAATTGTACATAAAACCACTTCAGTACAACAGCCATTTCACACTTCCTAACTGGGCTGGCTGGTTTTAGTAAGTTCTCGAAGTTATTTTCTAAGATCAATGGGTTTTGTACTGGAAGGTAATGGAAAAAGAATTGAGAGAGAAGCCTCCAATTATTTTGAAACGCATAGAAGAAAAGTTTTTAAAAGCCGTACTTCTAGCAGATGACTTACCGAAAAAAATCAGATTCCTTTGTTGACGAAGGAACTACCGCAAGAACAAGAACCCGCAGAAAACAAACAAGCCACAGCTTTAAATGAGAACTGCAGCATATTGTGAAATTTGTCTCTTCTAAAAGCCAAGGTTTATTCTAGAAAAGGGCATGGTTGCAATTAATGCTGATGATCATCATCTCCATAACCATCCGGCGATCCTCCAGGGCCAACCACCTCCAGCTGGGAACACAAATTACAATTAGGAGAAGTCTGCAACTGGATAAGTAATTTTAGACAACAAACCTCCATCCTATCAAAGGAGAAAGTGTGATAACATGGAAGAGAGAGACAGAGAGAAACTCTAATCCCTAAATGGAACACGTTATATAGTAGGTTTTTTAAGTGGAACACCCACACATACTATGTATTTGAAAAGAATATTTATAGTTTACATCTCAAAGGGCGTGATTTCATTACAATCGAAGCATTTTTGGTCATGTACCCAAACATCGTAAAAGAATTTGAATTTTTTTTTGCAAAATTAGATCAAAACGTTTTTCACAGTTACGATAATGACTGTTAGTATTTTCACTAATGCGTGTCCTTCCCTTCACATGCAGCTATACTTGAACAGGCTGGTTGGAGAATGCCAAATTTTGTGAAGGTATAGAATCCGGGATTTATGATGGAGGTTTTGTTGGAAAGAAACAGTAAGAGTTTTCAAGGTGAAGCTAAAAAGTGGCAAGAAATTTGGGATCTGGCGAGGGGTGTTAGTTCCCTCCTCCTCATGAAGCTCTATATAGTAAGGTAAAAAATCCAGCATTTAATATCGTGCCAACTGAACAACAATAATTTAAAAGTTCTCACCACAAAGTACTGTGAGCAGACAGGACATTCATGGGGTACATCCTTCCTCAGCCGAAACCAGACAACATCATGCTCATCCTCTACAATAAGAAAGGAAGCAACAGAACTAAGATGGAAATTCCAGTGTAATTGAAGAACACAAAATTTGTCTATATCAGACAGCGCAACACTTAAGAAAAGGCATGGAAAAGAAGAGATTGCAGGTACCCACCACCTTCACCTCCAGGGCACCCAACTAATCTTTCGTCATAATATGATTTGATAACAGCAGGTTCCTCCTAAAGAAATAATAAGTATTGAGATGTCTCCAAAAAATAAGTTATGCACGAAAAATCCTACTTTCATTCACATACACTACCACTTAATTTCTAATCGTGAGGCACAGACGCTATAAAGAGCAAAGAAGTCAAAGGCTTCATGGGAAAAAGTGAGTGGTTTTTGGACAAAAGCGAATAGGTGAATGGTCAAAGTCATAGATACAAAATAAATACAAGGTACAAACTAACCAGAAACAAAGAATTCAGCATTTTCCAGACTTGATTTTGAAAATCAAAGTGAAAGAGGATCTGAGCCAAATTCATGTGCTTTGTAACAAATAAACAACAGTTACGAGTTCAGAGAAAGGGATCAAAACAGCCACTATTTTTGCAGCCAATCACAAGCACAACTTTAAAAAAACAAAAAGCCTTTTAGACCAGATAAAATAAAACTGGTTCAAAACGAACAATAGGACTTCATTCTAGATGCAAAAGGGAGGTTTTAGAAGAGGAGCCTAAGATTCTTAGTTATAGCTTTAAAAGGAAGCCTAAAATTCCTTGAATGACCCAATTTTCCAGGACTTGATTTAGGTTAGTGGGCTGGTGAAGAAAAATAGAATCTTAGAGAAAATGCGTGAGATAGATATTGAGGAACTTGCATAATTTCTTGCTTCTAAATGTAGCACAAAGTCAAAGAAGTCAGCATTTTCACTTCTTTTCTGATTCAAACCAATTGGAGAGGTTTTCTGTCAGCTCCTTGGTTGATGAAGAGGAAAGAATTCCTCCCCAACCAAAATTATGATCACCTTGGAGCATGAAAGAAAGTTAAATGACATGGATAATTAGGAAAAGAAAGGGAAATAACTAGAAGCAAAATTTCATATCAATTCACAAAGATTTTGGGAGTCTGAGACCTCAATGAAATAGTTCGACATGAGAAGATATCATGATAGCATAACAAAAGTGTAGCTTAAATTCAAGTGAAAGTAAACTCAACGTATACTGCTATCTCGTCATGCCTTGAAATCTACATGAAATAAACCTTGGATAAAAGGCTAAAGCGTCTGATTTATTTCCAACAGACAAAAAAAAAAAGCGACGAAAAAATTAATCACAAACCACACTAACCTTAGTTCCAAAAGGACCAACAGGATGGTTTATATCAAGGATGTCTCTTCCCTGCAAACATTAAATCAATTGAAATGAGACTCACGTCCAAAATGAAAAATAGATCAGCGACCAGCCTATCAAATAACATAAACCAGACAGTTGGAAAATGAAAATGAACCGATCAATTTTCTGAAACTAAAATTACCATGCCAGACTCCGTGTGAAAACGAAAACGAATCGATCAATTAAGCCATGAACTTCAACCTACTTTGTAGTCCGGTGAATTTCACAACATCAAATAAAGGGGGGAAAGCACGTAACGGAAAGAGATCCAGGTAAGCAAGAAATACAAAAAACACTTCACCTCAAGCGAAGCTTCAAGCTCTTCACGCTCGTGTCCGGTTACGATTGGTATTACATCCTCTGCCTTCTTCTTCAGACCAGTATCAGCTACATTGAAAAATAAATTTGACAATCACACGAGATCAAAACCACATTCGAGCACATATTATAAATTCACAGACTGTAAATCACTTAACAAACCGCTATACGTTCTAATCGATTAATAACTACGCGAGACCAATTCCACACTCGCAGTTTCGTTCACATATCATAGATTTACACATATACAACGACACAGACTGTACAATACACAACAAACGATCCACGCGTAAACATTCTAATAAATTAACAACCACACGAGATTAGTTTCATATTTCCACATTCGTGCTCATACATACAGTAGCAGAGACAATTAAAACCCGAAGAAAACAGCAAGATCTACCAGAATCAGAGGCGTAATGGCGGGCGAAGAGCGAGACGGACGGGGAATGAGAAACACGAGAAGAAGCAGCGAGTCGAGTGGCTTGAGAAATGCATCCCAACGGAGCGGATGCGGACGTCGATGATGAAGGAAGAGATTTTAGGGCTTTGAGCTGCGAATAGAGCAATCTCCTCCACATCGTAGATTGAAATCGGTGAATTCTCCGTCTATGTTCTTCCGCACCCCTTCGACGGCGAATTTGGCTCTCTTTTTCTTCGCTCTCGCGCCCTTAAGCTTCTCAATGCCTTTTGGAAATGGGCAGAAACGCGGAACTGGTCAAGATGAGGTGGCAATGGCTGGGATACTGCAAAATTATGGTACAGCTCATTTTAAATTTAGGTTAAATGAATTCAATGTTTATTTTAGGATAAGGTCAATTTTGACAAATCTTAATTTTACAAAATCACGTGGGTTCGTTGAGACCATTTGACAAAATAATTAAACTTAATTTTATCAAATTTGGGCTTATGGAATTTGGGTCCAAATTAAACAAAAACAAAACCTGAAATTCAAATGGTTAGAAAGCCCATTTCAATAGTTGGGCTCAAAAGCCTTTGAAGCCCTAATTCCATATGGCTATGTAAAACTCTACTTTAAAGTTTAATTTTGAACAATTAAACCATGTTTTAAAATGATTTTAATTGTTTTGACCATTAAAATGCCTATTTAGAGACAAATTTTATTCATGAACTAAATATACGAGTGAGAATTTAAACCTACTTTTACAATATTAAAGGTTGACTCTTCAATATCTGATATGCATAATTAAATTTATAAAAATATAACCGAAAGATAATTAATATATTTTTATTCATCTTACCAACCCAATTTACCGACCAAACCTTAGCACCTTAGCCTTATCTTTCTTCATCACTGGTGGACCCCACCCCAACAAATCCTTGGTCCCACTTTTATTCCAAACCCAGTCCACCTACCACATCTTTCACCAAACTCACCAACAAAATAATAATTATAATAATAAATAAATAAATAAATAACAACTCTCATTCCTCCATAAATTTGTATGTTTTTCCATTTTCGTCTTTTTTATTATTACTATTATTCCGTTTTCGTCACTTCTAGAACACAACGTTTTTTAATAATTAAGATTATAATTAAATCATAAATTTAGATATTTATTTACCTAATAAGTTTTTAACTCTCAATAGCAAGATCTTAATTTTCCTATTGAACCCAATTTATGCTAAACAACCCATAATTTTTAATTTAATTTATAAAAAAGTCGTAATTTTTAATTTTGTGTTTAATATGTTTTATAATTAAATTGATTCAGTAGAATTATTAATTTTTTAGTTTTATGCCTATTAAATTTATAAATATATTAGATATTATTTAAAATTTAACATACTACCTAATACTCATTGATAGGTTGGAAAGATAAAAGGAATGAGGGGTACCTACTCCCCTTATTAGGTCTTTGGTATTAGATTGAAATTTTATTATTATTATTATTATTATTTAATATTCAAAAAGAAGTTTTTATTTATATATTTAAAAACTAAAATAAGCATTTTCAAAATTAAAAATTCATAAACCTTCTCAAACGAAAATGAAAATTGAAGGTTAACTTGAACCATAAGTTCAAATTTATTATAATTTATCAATATTGCAAAATTAAATAAGTCTGTGCAAACCTCATTGAAATAAAAATAAATAAATAAATAAAACTATATTACGAAATTACAAATCTAACCTTCCCCACTCATTACTATATCCCCCATCCTTCACCACAAGCCCACAAACGGCGAAAATGGCCCCAGAACCAGCAGCGCCGGAAACTCTGACGAACTACTGGGGCGACCAACCGGAGGAAGAATTCTACGCCTCTCAAGGAGTTCGAAACTCCAAATCCTTCTTCGAAACCCCCCATGGCAAGCTCTTCACACAGAGCTTCATTCCTCTGGACTCGCCAGAGCCCAAAGGCACCGTCTACATGACTCACGGCTACGGCTCCGATACCGGCTGGATGTTCCAAAAGATCTGTCTCAGCTACGCCTCTTGGGGCTACGCCGTCTTCGCCGCCGATCTCCTTGGCCATGGCCGCTCCGATGGCCTCCGCTGCTACCTCGGCGATATGGAAAAAGTCGCCGCCGCCTCCCTCTCCTTCTTCCTCCACACCCGCCGTAGCGAGCCCTACCGCCATCTCCCTGCCTTCCTCTTCGGCGAGTCCATGGGCGGTGCCGCCACCATGCTCATGTACTTCCAGTCAGATCCAGACACCTGGACCGGCCTGATCTTCTCTGCGCCGCTTTTTGTCATTCCGGAAAACATGAAACCGAGCAAACTCCGCCTCTTTCTCTACGGCCTCCTCTTCGGCGTCGCCGACACTTGGGCCGCCATGCCGGACAATAAAATGGTGGGAAAGGCGATTAAGGATCCGGAGAAGTTGAAAATCATAGCGGCGAATCCTAGACGGTACACAGGACCACCGAGGGTTGGGACAATGAGGGAATTGGTTAGAGTTACGCAGTACATTAGAGACAATTTTTCGAGGGTTACGGCGCCATTTCTGACGGTGCACGGGACAGCGGACGGAGTGACGTGTCCGTCGTCGTCGGAATTACTGTACGAGAAGGCGGCGAGCGTGGATAAGACCTTGAAGCTTTACGAGGGGATGTACCATTCGTTGATTCAAGGGGAGCCGGATGAGAATATGGAAATTGTTCTGAGGGATATGAGGGAGTGGATCGACGAGAGGGTTCAGAGATATGGATCGAAGAAATAGAAACTCAAAATGGGTGAAGGTGGGCGTTAATGGCGGAAATGGAGGAGATCTCTGTGTGCGTGTTTCTGGATAATGAAAATGGCATAACTGGTAATTTTGATGTGTTTTTTGGGCTATAGTTTTCGTAATGCCAATTTGCTTCCTTGACTTTCTTTCTTCTTATTCTATTAAAAATAAACTTAAATTCTAATGTACCTTATTTTATCTATTTACCCCTTTCTCTCTCATTTTTTATGGGTTAGTTTTTAATTATTTATTTTTATAATATAATTCCTTTTTTTTTTTTTTTAATTGAATGCCTTCTATGTGCTTAATTAATTAATTAATTAAAATTTTAAAAAAATGTCAAATATAAAATTCATAACACAAAGTAAAAAAAAAATGTCAGAATAATCTTATATCTCTTCAACTATAAGAGCCAAATTCCACCGTTAAGAGATGTTGTTCGCTTTGACTTATTATGTATCACCGACTTCACAGTTTTAAAACGCGTCTATTAAAGAGATGTTTTCACACTCTTACAATAAATGGTTTGTTTCGATCTCCAAATCAACGTAAGATCTTACATCAATGTGGTCTCAAGCCTTAGAACGCCTTGTAATATATATTTAATCTTGGAAGGGTTCTAACTTCAACGCCTTACAATGTATTTAATGTGGGGTTGGGCATGATTATATTGGGGCACCTTTGGACCTGAACTTGTTTGGGCCAAATTTGATTGGGGTACCTATAAGGTAAATACATGGTGTATTTATACCTCAAAACATCTTTGTTTGTATTGTTTTTGCATTTGGAGTTGCCATATATATATATATATATTATAATCCGAAACAACCTACCCAAGAAAGACTCGTAGCTTCCTCCTCATCTCCTCACCAAGCGTTACAACAAACACAAATTTGGCTGCCCAATCTGCAACCATGGAACCAACTGGGCTGTCTTCTTCTCCCCAATTCAAGCCCTCATTTAATTGAAGCCCAATACGTTCTCAACCAAATTCCTTCGTCACTTTCATCCATTTGGATTCACTTGTCCTTGCCCTAATTTTTGTTTTTCATAAACTTGGAATTTGATCCACTTAATGGAGGACGGTGGGATTCTCCACTATGTTAAAATTGAATGAACATTTCTAACGTAGACTCGTAATGTTCATTAAACTCGAGGCTCACACATTTGACTTTGAAGGCTCGAAAGTGAAAGAAGGGTGTAGGTTGGGAATTTGATTGGAAATGGAAGTTTGAATAAAAGAGGTAGTTGAGGATTAGGAGATAGGAAGAAAAGGCAAAGAGATTGCGTTCAAAAGCGGGGAGCCGAAGGGCTTGAGGGGTAGGGTTGCTTTCGCTTGCTACCACGAGAAACAGTTCCCCAAAACCAAAAGCAATTTGTATTTCAGATTTTTTCTGTCTTCTTCCTTAAATCAATCTCTCCTTTTCCACAACTAAGTTCCTCTTTTCAAAATTAATTAAAAATTAATAATTTAATTAATTTTCCCTTTCTTTTTTCTATGGAATATGAATTTCAGCCATCTTCCAAATAAGTAATTCGGAAATAATATTTAAATCATTTTTTTAAATATTTAAAGATAACTCCAAAACAGCTTCAGAATGATGATACAGATAAGATGTTTAAAAAAATGGATTTCTTTTCATACGTCACCCCATGAAAATATCAAATATTTTAGTGAATATTTCATTTTTAAATAATAATAATAGAAAATCTCCTCTCTCCTCTCTCACACACCTAACAAACAATCTATTACTGAAAATTTTAGGGACAAAAAGGTAATTGAACAAAAGAGAGATTAAATTTAATTAATCACTAAAAAAGGTGAAATGATTAAATAAGGGAAGGAAGGGTATTAAAAGATGAGCCTAGCCACTTGTTTTGACTTTCAATGTTGCTGTGTGGCGACGTGTACTCTTTTAAACCGTTGTTCAGTGTAGTTAACTAATTAATTAGTTTAATTTTATTCATTGATAAAAATAAATAAAAATTAAAAAGAGTTTTGCTGTCCGTCCATTACCATGGCCGGATACAACGTAAGCGCTCTGTGAGCCCCACTGCTGACTTGGATCCATATCGTGGAATTAGTAGTTCCAGCCAATACCGGGGTAGGTGGGTTGGATTTTTTTTTTTTTTTTTTCCTTTTGTTCTTAATATGTATTATGGAAATCAATTATAATAATTATTGAATCCTTCCTATTTTGCAGCTGAAAAGAAAAACTAATGAAAATAACGAAAATGATGTAATTTCAGGAAACAAAATTATGATCTTTCTATTTTAATCATTTTTTTTTTTAATAAAAATAACATCGTCTATAATTTTTTTTTAAAAATATAAATGGTAAAGCTACTAACTTAAACTAGAAGAATTTTTAAGTTAATTTAATTATCGTTTAGTTATTTTTATAATTTAAGGTAGGAGAAAGACGTGAAATATAAAATACATCTAGAGAAAGATTTTTGATACTTTTTTAATATTAAATAACTTTACTTACTAATCGTATCCTAAATTAAGTATAATATTAATATATGTAATTATTATTTTCAAATTTTGATACTTTGTACTTGGGAATAATCAAATATGTTAATATTTAACATTTAAAATAATGTAAAATTTTACTAAATAAAAAATTATAACTTGTTAAAAAGTGAGAAATGCAATAAAATTGTAGCTTCCAAATTTTATTTTAAATAAGGACCTCTTAGTTGTGTAATTCAAAAAATCAAACTCACCAAATTATGATAATATAATTTCTTAAATAATAATGCATAAGCATATTTTTATATTTTATTATATAAAAAATATAATAATAAATTAATTTGGAAGGTAAATTTTAAGTTGTCAATGATAAAGATATTCAAAAGTTGAGTCTCTCACGAATCTACACTTTGATCAGACGTCGATGAGAAATCTACCTTAGTATCCGATTAGGGATGGGGCAGAGTATGATGTGAACTCCCATCCCATCTCACCCTTGAACCAAATTTTAATAAATTTTATTAATTTTAAAAAATACATAATATATATTATAATTATTTATAAAAACCATTATACTATATTAAGTAAAAAAATTAAGATGGATATATTTTATATTTAATATTCCGAAATGAAAAATGGGACGGGGACGAGGACGAGGAGTACATCCCAACTCCGCCCTCGACCTTACATTAAAATTAATGTTCAAATAAAAATAGAGGCTAAAAAGAAAAGTTTGCACTTTAACCAACAAAAAAAAATGAAAATAACATAGAAATAAATGAGAAGCACCCGTTATTTGGTGGACAAAGAACATTACATCGTTTTCTAGCTATTTCATGCGTAATTTTCGTTCATTAAATAAAAAGAAAAGGGCAAAAAAAAAAAAAAAAGAAAAGAAAAGCGTGACACTTTATTGACCAACTTGCAGAAGCTCAAAAAGATCTTAAAATGAAGGGTACTTTGGACATTTCCGAACGGCGGCAGTTTAATTTCGATCGTGATCCTCCCCTTTTTAGCCAACTTGCTTTGCAACTTCTTTACGAGAAAGGGAAAAAAATAATAATAAATAAAAAAATAAACACATTGTGACATGTGACATTGTCTTTATTATTTTATTCATTGTTAACTATCTTATTAACTATTCAAAAAAATTTCAATCCATTTTCCACAAACTAAAGAGAAGTTTTTAAACAAATAAATATACATAAATTTATTCTTTGAAAAAAAAAAGTATAACTTTAGTGCTTTAATTAATTTGAAAATAGTGAACGAAATATATATTTTTTTAACACAAGAGTGTTTAAGATATATATATATATATATATTTTGTGGATGACATAATTTAAATTATATTATTAATCAACTGGGTAAGGAGATAATTAAGTAATTAAGGTAAGATAATTTATTTTTTAGTTCAATAAATGGGGATCCAAATGTTAATAAGCACGGTATGTATGAAGTTGTCCGCACAGGTGGTGGAAAGAAAAACATATGCTCCTTAAAAAATGGCATCATAACAGTTCCACTTTGGTCAAAGTTTCAACGATCCAGACCCGAAAACTAAGGAAAAACACTCCAAATTCAGAGACCCGAGTTTATGATTTAACCTTCCAAGAACCGATGGGTAGAGCAAAGTGATTGGAGTCTATAATTTAACCTTTCAAGAACAGATCTGTTGAACAAAGTTATTCTTGTTCTTGCGACTGTAAATCAACCCACTTGTGGAAAATACCCATTTAATTATTCCTTCCGTCTTTTGGTTTGATTTGAATTTTATTTTATTGGGTTTTTTTGGCTGTTTGTTCTCTGAAACAATTCGAGGGTTTTTGATTTCTGTTGTTTGTATATAAAGAAAAATATTTGTATGTTCGCCCATCCTCTGGAGAAGGGAACTTGCCATTCTTACCTATCTTCTTCTTATCTTCCTTCTTTCCTCTTCTTCCTTCCTCATCTGTGTCTCTTTTTGAAAGCCTGAAGCGTTTGGATTATTGTTTTTCCACAAGGGATCAAAGAGGAGAGACATGGAGGCTGTTTTGCAAAGCAAAGGGTTTCTCACTCTTCCCCCAAATCCCAAGGCCAGAAGCTTATTGCCTTCTCATGGCCTTAGGCAGAGGATTTTATCCACAAAGCCTTTGAATCTTCCTGGGTTATCACTTTCCTCAAATGGGTTTCAAAGATTTCAGGGATTTGTATCGAGAAACGCTTCCTTCTCTCCCAAAGAGCGTGTTTCTCTCATCTGCAGGGCTGAGGCCGCGGCGGCGCCTGCAGCGGATTCCGATGAGATCCCTAAAATTTTGGGGATTGAGATTGAAACCCTCAAGAAGATTATCCCTCTTGGGCTTATGTTCTTTTGCATCCTTTTCAATTACACAATTCTTAGGGATACAAAGGATGTTTTGGTTGTGACTGCTAAAGGTAGCAGTGCTGAGATTATTCCATTTTTGAAGACTTGGGTTAATTTGCCCATGGCTGTTGGATTCATGTTGTTGTACACCAAATTGGCTAATGTTTTGCCTAGAAAGGCTCTGTTCTACACTGTCATCGTTCCATTCATTGCCTTTTTTGGGGCCTTTGGATTTCTTTTGTATCCTCTTAGCAATTTTATCCACCCTCAAGCTTTTGCTGATAAGCTTCTCAACTCCCTTGGCCCGAGGTTCCTTGGTCCTCTGGCTATTATGAGGATTTGGAGCTTTTGCTTGTTTTACGTCATGGCTGAGTTGTGGGGAAGTG